TCAAAAATTTTATTAGTAAATTCTGTTATGCAAGACATCATTTTCGTCAAAGTTCTGTTAAACCCACATTGTTCACACTTTAGACATTTGAATAAACTGATGTTAAGCACAAAAACAAAAAGAGTCATATATTATGACAAAAGAAAACAAAAAAAAAACTGATCATTTAATTTCCATTCTCTTTTCTGGTTAATTCTAAACCAACAACTAAGTCCCGATAAATACTGTTTGTTTAATTAAGAGTACTTTTACTGCAACAGCGACATTCAAAAGTGTGAATTTGTAGAAAAAAAAAACCGAAGAACAAACCGACTTTGGAATATTGTTTTTTCACAAGTTCGCCAATAAAATTGGTGTTGCTGCCAAAGCTTTAACCAAAATTTATTTGCATATCAGCTATAAAAAGCAGCAGTAAACTCATTCAAGTGCACTGTAAGTCTATAAAACAACTGGACAGAAAAAAATTGATAATACAACAAACAGTAAGCAATTAACATTTAGTCAAATATAAATATCTAATAATAAATTTTCTGCTTTTTCAAAAACCAAGTAAAACTTATCGGTTCAAACAAAGTTTAATACTGTAAAGCAACCGTAAACAGTACTGACCCAAAATAAGCAAAAAAATATTGAACGGCTGAAACTGTTTCCTTACCAAGAAACTAAAATACCCTTTTTTTCTTGGTAACAGTCTATACATACGAGGTAAATAAGTGTGATAAGTAGTTGATAACGTCCTTATAAACACATAACACAAAAGAAATAAAGTTAAAAATTTAGAGAAATTCTCAATAAAAATGGTGATCACAGTCGAATAATCCCGAAAATGTGGCATATCTATCAAAAAAAAAAAAAGTTCTCAAATTTTAAGCTAGACTTCTTTTTTCAGCTTCTATTACTTTGAAAACACTGTTCCATTAACAGCTACAAATTTTAATAGTTAAGCTATACTTCATATTTTTATTACGTTTTTTTTGCCTAACATTTTCCGGTTTAACAAAACTGTTGAGTATAAATAATTGTTTTCAATAAAATTATCTTAACATAATTATTGTACAATTTTTATACAGCTAAAGTTTGAAGTAAAATATATAGTAATTACCAAAACCGTAAACTAACTATCGCTTTTTTAATGTTAAAAAATGTTTGACAAAACACCAAGGTTATCAAAGATCTGAAAAAAAAAATAGCAAACGTAATCTTTCTCAATGCTAATTTACAACCTAACAACCACAAAACTTCACTGAATTGCCAGTGATATTACAGCAAGTTGCAAAGTAAAATTTCCTAAAATAAAAACCAAGTAAATTTTTGAAAAAGACTGCAAAACAAAAAAGAAAAATTTTCGTTAATTGTTGTTGATAAAATATGATTAATTTTTTTCTTTGCTCCGTTTGATTATTGCCGTTTATTGTCGACATTATTTTTATCAGACAAGCTTGTTAGATTTCTTGCATCCAAATCGTCTGGAAGCTCAGAATATGGCGGTGGAGGCATAAATGCTGCTAATGCAATTGGTGAATTTTCTGCTACCATATGCGGTAATTCTGGGGAAATACTTGAAGAGGGTGTCATTGGCGGTGCAGACGGAGTTGGTGGCGTTAACGGATATACAGGTCCCAGCGAATCCAGTTGATCTGCTGAAATTGTCGGCAATACTGTTGGACTGCCACCAGATGTAACTGAGAAAACTGTTGGTTGAATAGTATATTGCGTAGACATTAGGTTGACAGTTGTAGGGCTTGCTAGTGGAGGCACAGCTGGAGGTTTTCCTTGAGTGGGTTGCATTTCTGATGAAGGAACAACCACTATACTCTGCCTTGGGTTGACGGCTGGAGTTACTGTGCAGTAACGTGTGCATCGATTGAGAAAACTAAAATTTATTGAACCTGTTGGGGTGTCAAAAACTTATCAGATCATTGTTCTCTTGATTCTACTGTATACTCGACAAATAAAAATGCTCAATTAAAACTCAAATAAAAAAAAAAGAATAAATCAGGATAAGTATAAAACACTTACACTGGATGTCTTTGCATATATCTCCTCTGAAGGTTCAGAAGAACGGCGCATATTAGCAGTATCACAGATGCTGTTCCATAGATAGCCAAATGAATGAAATTAGTTTGTGGATCTGTAAAGAGAACTTTTTTCCAACTTTTTTATAGCTAACTATTTAGTGAAATAAATCTGCGATTTTAAATAAAATGATTTACAATTGATACTTTAGCGTTTCTGTCGACAAAAAAAGAAGAAAATAACAAACTAAAATTTAGCAAATAAAAATCTTTTTTACCTTCTTTTTTTATAAGTCGCCAGGCGAAAATACCCGTGAAAAGAATGTGATACAACGCACAAAGTCCCTAGAAAAAAAAGCAACATAAAAATGATATCTTTTTGTCGGACAATCATAAGAACTGAAACACATATACAGCTTTAACATCTTCACTACTTCAGTCAATCAAAAATAACAAAAGCAACTAAGCAATTAAATCTGATGTTTCACAATTTTTGAGACATATCTTCATTGTTTTAAAAAAAAA